GAGTCAGAGGGAAGAGTAGAAGGCTTCGAGAGTGATGACGGAGAAGGTAACGGAAGCACGGGGACTGAAGGAGGGCGAGAACGATGGACCATAGGGTGGACACTAGGACAGGGAGAGACAAGATTGGCACTAGAGGGACGATGGACCAAGTGGGGAAGAACTGGGGACTGGGGATGAGGAGGAAAGGGGGACAATTCAGGGGACGGAGGAGAGCGTGGGGGAAAACGAGCCCAAGAGGAGGGAAAAGCGGGTCGTAAACAGGGGCACACATCGGAGGAGGGACGATCGGCTGGTAAGGGGAACCGGGAGCAAGACCAAGGAGTTGAAGGGGAGACTGCAGCTGCTCCTGCTGCTGCTACTGCTCCTATTGCTGTGACTACAACTACTGCTGCACCCTGTCCTTGCCAGCAGATTCAGCGGCACCTCAGCTACCACCGGCACTCCCCAAAACAGCACCCCCAGGACTGGCACCCCTTTACGCACCACCCACAGAACCAGCAATCCCAAAGTCGGCACCCCTAGAACTCGCACTCCCAGAATTAGCACCCCCAACACCAACACCCCTACAGCCCATTGCTCCCTGTTGCTGCTGCTGCGGCCACTGAGTCTGCTGCAGCTCCTGCTGTGGCTTCTGAGGCAATGGGGGAGGCGGCTGAGGTGCCTGGGGTACCGAGGCTGGGGGAGGCGCCACAGAGACAGCAGGCATGCTCCCCGCAGCTAGGCCCCCAGAGTTAGCCGACCCTCCTACGAGCCCAACCAGGGGGAAATGAGTGGCGCGGGAGACACCAGACTGGGTCGAACCAGGTGGAAAGGGTGCACCATGCGGGGCAGGAATGAGGGAGAGAGGAGGAGGAGGTACAAGAGCGCTGTGGTCCGGGAAGCGCCGGTAGTTTGGGAGCGTCTTGTGGAAGGTAACGCTACGAGAGTGGTAGACGCGATGGTGTACCGAGTGTAAACAACCATTCAAAGGCGTCAAGCGGAAACCTCAGGAAGACACAAGGCAGGGTGCAGGCTGAGAGCTTGTCAGCGCGAGTGCCGTGGACGTGAGCAAGGCTGCCCCAGACGTGAAACGTTGACGTGTCACAATGAGACCCAGTCGAGAGAAGGGTCAACAAAACTTGTGGCCGCTTGGAGTGCGGCCACAGGTTAAGCTGGTGAGCAGTGTAACACATAGTGAACAACCACAAAAAATGGGGTGCACCAACGTGGACCATGGAGGTGCAAGCTGCCTCCATGACCAGGCCGATGCATCGCTCAGCAGCCCCATTCTGTTGTGGGGAGTCCAGCAGTGTGTACGTCTAGCGGATGCCCTTCGCACGACACAATTGTCCTAGAGTGCTAGAGGCAAACTCGCCACCACAGTCAGAGTGTAAGCGAACAACGGGCAAGCAGTGCTGGACACAAAGAGCAAGCAACCATGGAAGGAGCACGGTAAGCACGTCAGGTATCCGCTCCAACGGAAACACTGTAGTGAACTATGAGAAGTCAACGATGACGAGGAAGTAGCGCTCCAGACTAAGACCATGGACCGGAGGAGGGCCCCTGCTGCCATGTGTAGTGTTTGTAGAGGTGCTGTGGTAGGATGAAACGAGGAGGAGTGGGGGATGGTGCGCTGCCAGCCCTCGACGCAGGAGGTGCACAGTGGCGCGACATACGTAGGCAAGGCTGGGAGCGACGCAGGAAGACCAGTGACTAGACTGTGGTGGGACATGTGCCTAAGACGCTGGAGTGCAGGGTGACCTAAGCGGTGGTGCCATAATGGAGTTTGGTGGGCAAAGGAGTGACACGAGCACGACGCGGAAACCTCTGTAGAAGCAGCAGCAGGTGGGGACTCAGTGTGCAGTGTGAAGAGACCTAACCCTGGGTCACACTCAAAATTGGCTAGGTGGCGATCGGTGGCTGTGTCTATGCAAGCTGCGTGTCTCTCGTGGCCAGGGAACGTGGTGTTGACTCCTCTGTCCTGGAGGTGACCGACACCCACTAGATTCTTGCAGTCCGGGGAGGGAGCCGGAGGGGACAGCAGGACAGGGGAGAGGGATATTTCTACGTGCGACAACTGTGGCGGAGGAGTCTGCTAGTGCGACGCGGACAGGTACAGAAAGCGGGGTGAGAGCAGACTGTCTTTAAAGAAGTAACGAGATGCACCAGAGTCTAGGATAAAGGAGACGACCGACGTGGCGCAATCAGGGATTCTACTCCTGACGCGGCAGTGGATCCTAGACTACACACGGGCAGTCGGTGCCCTGGGGGTCGCGTGGCTCCACTGCGAGCCAGGATGCTATTGGTCTTGTCGGCGTGGCGACCTGCACTTAACGATTGCTGACCGGCCCCGAGGGGGGCCAGGTCCGCTTGCGCAAGGGCCACACCGCCGCCTGCTGCTTCTGCCGCCTCAACGACCTCTACCGCCATCAATTCGGCTCGTTGGTGCAGGTACCCCTCTGGCCTGCTTTGCTTCGTTATAGGGTTCCTATCTTTGATATGGATATGATTCAGATAGATCATGCCTTGTATTCTATGTATTCTGATGATTCTAGTGCTACTGGCATGGAGGGAGCGCTGCCCTGGAAGATAGGGACTGCTGGCGCGCCAGTGGAACCAGTGATGGCACGGAGGCGGTTCTCTACCTCAGTTAGGGAGGTAGAGAAGAGGTCAAGGGTGAGCTCAGAGGGGTGATGAGCGAGGAGCGCGTCACGGACAGAGGCAAGGCAGTTAGGGAAGCGGGTAACAAGGAAGTAGATAGTGGCAAAGAGGGGGGGCAGGCCGAGCGCGAGCTGGGCCTCAGTACAGGCCGCATGCCAGCGGGCCTCGAGGGAGTGCATGTGCTCGACTAAGTCTGCTATAGTGGTGAAGGAAGTTAGGTTGGGGTGGAAGAAAGGGAAGAGGAGATTACCAAAAGTGGCAGACGATGGGTGGAGTACCTAGCAAGGATAGCCGTCTAGAGGGCGCGGGCTGACACAGCACTCACAAAGTGAGAGTGCTCATCAACGGGTAGGCACCTGAGGATGGCGACACGAGCATTGGCGTCGCGAGACTCCCAGACGAAGTAGGCTGTACGAGCAGCAACGTGCACAGCCTGCAGCAAGAGCGCTCAGACAGGGGACAGCAGGGAGCTCACCAGTGACGTCGGCGTCCAGAGACTCATCGTCGACGCGCTGATTCGTGAGCTGCAGGAGAACTATCTCCTGCCAGGCGGCGAAACCAACCGCCCGTCCCTCCCCATCCAGGCGCAGAACGAAGACGCTACTGGTCGCCGACATGCTGGCCGCTGAGGTGGCAGCTGCAGCCAAGAAGACGGAGGCGGCAGAAGCGGCGGCAGCTGCGTCAGAGGCAGCGGTGACGGTTGCTGCAGTGGGAGCCGGTGGCAGCGGCTGCTGCTAGCGGGCGGCGGCGTGGCGACGGCAGCGAGTTGGCATGTAGCGGCGGCGGCGCGGCTGCTGGCTAGCGGCAGCGGCGGCAAGAGTGACGGTAGAAGCGGCTGCAGCGGCAGGAGCGGCAGCAGCAGTGGCTGCAGTGGCAGCGGAAACAGCAGGTGGAGCAGCGGCAGCGGCAGGAGCGAGAAGAGAAGCTGCAGCAAGGGCTGCAGTGGCAGTAGCAGTAGCGGGAGTGGCAGCCGCAGTGGCAGCGGCGGCAGCAATGGGGGTGGCAGCAGCGGCAGCGGTGGTTGCGGCGAGCTGGCTGGCAGCTGCTGGCTGTTGGCGGGCTGGCAGGCCAGCGGCGAGCTGGCTGGCGACTGCTAGCGATTGCTGGCTGGCGTTGGCGGCTGGCGCTGGTGCTGGCAGTTGGCTGCTAGTGCTAAGGATGTGGGATCCTCTACTGGATCCACAGGCATCGAAGCAGCTAGACCTCTAGTCTGTGAACACCAAACTGAGGCAGCCGTAACCCAAAACACAACTGTAGGGGCACTCACCAATCATGTGGATCCCCCTCGGTTCATAAGATCTCAACGTTCAAGCATTTTGTTGTTTTGAATAAGTACTGAAGTAGACTCTTAACAAATTGAAATATTGTTTCTATTCCCAGGCTAGGAAGTTTCACTCCTTCCGTGCTTAGCCAATGTACGCTTTCTGCCATTACGTACACAATTATTCTCATGCCGCAAAGTGCGGCGCTCACGCAAAATCCGGAGGCGCCTGAGAATGCGCGGCACGAGGTGACCAATAATAGCGCATGACCACCACATCTGCGCACACTCTCGTCTAGGTGCCTTACGGTTAGACACGGTTCTTGCGCTTTACCGTCTTCAACCGTTGCGCATCACACCGAACCAAACACGGCCTCCCCCCTGGTGCTCCCCTGTTGCCCACTCCACCTGCATCGCAGCCAGCTCAAGCAGTGAGCTTTGGGTCGAAAGATTCCTTTTCCCGGCCACTCAGCAAGCAATAATTGAGGGACTCGGTTGTGCAATAATTGAGCAATAATTGAGGGACTTGGTTAGTGGACATTGCCACCATCCCTTCGCCCACTCATCTCAGCTCTGCTCATCCAGGCCACTACTAGTGCAAAAAGGCAATAATTGAGGGACTTGGTTAATAGACATGGCCACCATCCCTCCGCCCACTCATCTCAGCTCTGCTCGTCCAGGCCACTACTAGTGCAAAAAGTAGTACTTAAAGTCACCCTTATCAGACGTTCATCACCACAGTCTGCGATTACCGAGTGCCTTCACCCCAGTTCTCCGAAAACCGCACATCCGAGTCTCACGAGAGATCTTTGAGAAATCTCGCATCATTGCTCCAACTCTCGGGCATCCCGTGCAACTTTCGATGGGCATTCTTCGCTCCGTTTTGGGCCTCGCCGCGCTGATTTTCGTCTCCCTTCCTTCACTCCACGCGGCCGCATCCCCGCGAAAGGCTCTTACTAGCTTCGCTGACGACACTGTCAACGCCAAGGCGTTCACAGAGACGGCCCAGGCGCGGGACGAGAACCTGTGTGTGCACGGCAACCTGTGTGTGTGCAGAAGTGTGTGCACCTCCCCAAGAGACGTAGCTCTTGAAATTGCATTCACGTGGTTGTCATCACAGTGTAGCGACTTGGGTTCGAGGCCATCTAGTACCGGAAATCCAGTGCCAACCTTTCCGCTAAAGCGTGCCGATACAGAATACACTAGTTCACTAAGTGGTGTAAGTGGGTATTTCTAGGTGTTACATTTGGAAGCACTGAGGCCAGGAGGAAACAAGCCTAGCATTCTACTCAATCAAGTCAACGAATAGCCGGTCTTCAAAGAAGCAGCTGTCCCGGCGGAATCCAGGCAGCCTCAAGAGATGGTCGGGAATCTTCACACCCACCGACTTCTCATCGATGCACAGCTCGGGCAGCCCGGCCAATGCTGTCAGCGAGTCGGGCAGGTGGCAAAGGCTCGGGCAGTTCTGAACGACGAACGTCTGGAGGTATTTCAGCTGCCCGATGCCAGATGGGAGGGACTGAATGGCTGGGCAGAATGCGACCACCAGCCTCTGCAGAAACTGAAGGCTGCCCAAGGACTCGGGCAGCTCGGAAAGGTTTGAGCAGCCAATCAGGTCCAACCGCCTAAGATTTACCAGCTGGGCAATAGCCTCCGGAAGCTCAGCAATCCCCGCAGGCTTGGCTGGCTTAGCCGGCTTGGCCGGCATATCAGCAGGCAGAATCAGTGTCATGGAGGTATTGAAACCGAGACCTCCATCAGCACCACTGCCTGTGTCCATGCCAGTCATGCTGCTGCTCGCAGGCAGGCTAGAGAGGGAGGCAAGAGATGCTGATTTGGAGCCGAGGGGGCTGGGCGGCCCGAGAGAGTGGTCGGAGAACTGGGTCCTGGTTTCAGTGAAGTCCAGGACGAGGCTTTCTAGGAGGTGGAGGGAGAAGAGGGAGGGCGGGAGGGAGACGAGCGAGACGTTGGCTCGCAGGACGAGCTGGCGGAGGTTGCACATGGCACCCATGGAGGATGGCAGGGAGAGTAGCCCACTCGGCCCATCGTCATCATCATCGTCGTCATCCTCTTCATCGTCCGCATCGCCGTTTCGGCCGTTGCTTCCGCCGTCGTCGCTGGCTGTGGTGCCATCGGTGCCGTTCATACTCATTCCCATGCCCATGTCCATGGCGGTTGAATGGCTGACAATACTGCTCCCATCATCATCCCCATCCCCATCCTCCTCCTCCTCCTCCTCATCATCGTCCACTTTGTTATCCACAAGAAGAAGTTGAAGGCTGCCCGAGCTGCCCAGAGATTCGGGCAGCGCGGAGAGGGAATAGCAGCCGATGAGTTTGAGCGAGTAGAGGTACGGGAGCTGCCCGAGAGATTCGGGCAGAGAGGTGAGGGCGAAGCAGTTGCGCAGCTCCAGTCGCACCAAACTTGTCAGCTGCTCGAAGGAGTCGGGCAGGGACAAAAGTCCGCATGCTTCGGACTCTTCTGAAAATCCCTTGTTGTCGAAAACAAATTCTTCCAATTGATAGAGCTGCCCAAAGGATTCCGGCAGATCCAGCATCAACGGGCAGCCAACAATCTTCAGGAAGCGCAGGGAGTAGAGCTGACCGAAAGATTGCGGAAGCTCTTTCAGGGTGCCCAGCCAAGTTGCACTTGCTGCCATGTTGATCACAATCTCCTCCAATTCTTTCAGCTGCCCGATGCTCTCTGGCAGACTCCGGACGGACATGCACCAGCACATCTTGAACCATTTCAGGCGCTGAAGCTGCCCGATGGATTCGGGCAGATGGCGCAGGCAATCCAGGCTCAGAAGCTCCAGCTCCTCCAACCCTGTCAGCTGCCCGATTTCTTCGGGCAGCGTAGCGAGCTGCAGGCAGGAGTCGAGCACCAGGCGGCGAAGATTCGAAAGCTGACCGAGGGCAGGTGGAAGAGACCGCAAACCAAGCTTCGAAGACTGGTTCATTATAAGCAGCTCCTCTAAGCGCCAAAGGCGGGAGATGGAGGTGGGAAGGGTGCGGACGAAACGGCCGGTGCAAAGAGAGAGAGAGCGGAGGGAGGGGAGCGAGGTGAAGAGGGTGCTCAGTCCTGCTGGGGTTCTTGCGTAGGTGCGCTCCTGTAGGTGTTGGGGGAGGAAGGGGAGAGCAAGGGAGATGGGGGATGAGGTGAGAATAGTGGGGTGAGAAGTTTGGAATACAGCAAGAACGAGTGTGAAATAAAGAAAACTCGATACAGGAACGCAATACAAGGAACAGCAAGGATGGGCGGGGATATTTGCAAAGAAATACGTACAAAACCTCAATACAGGAAATTGAAACAGCAGCTTACATTGTACCCAGGGAACACATCAATGTGCAGCGCCTGTAGCTCCAGCCCCAATCGCACAATCATCTCGAAAACATCATCCCCTTCCACCTCCAGGCTGTTCCAAGGCAGGTACAGGGCAGCCAGGTTCGGATAACAGGCTAGGTACCGAGCCAGCAGAGGCTTGGGGAGCAGGCGGTTCGGGAGGAGGTAGAGGGTTTGCAGGGCAAGGCAGGAGAGGGCGGCGAAGCGCCTGGATAGGACGAGGCATGCCGCCCAGTCGAGAGGGTCGGTGAGATGAGAGAGGATCTGGATGATGAATTCGTCCGGCATCTCTGAGAGCTGGGTGGCTCTTGAATCGTCTGAAGGGGGTGGTGGTGGTGGTGTGGGTGTGGGGGAAGAGGCGGGGGGAGAGGGGAGACACGGGAGTAGAGTGGGTGAGAAGGTTGTTGGGACCATCGGGGAGAAGGATCTGGGTGATGAATTCGTCCGGCAGCTCTCAGAGCTGGGTGGCTCTTGAATCGTCTGAAGGGAGAAGGGGATGATTGATAGGGGGGGCATGAGATGAGAAAGGGGCGTCAGAAGAGTGAGCGATACCGAAAAGGTGAGAGAATGCTGGGAGCACCAGAAACACCAACTCCAGAAACATGCCGTCAAGCATACCTTGCGCTTCATACAGCTGTCGCTGGCAGTCCATCTTCGCGCACAGGTGAGCCCATCTGGTGGGCGACTCCAATGCTCCCAGCAACTCCCTCATCGGACTTTGGCCCCCCCACTCCTCCCCACCGCCTTCCACCACTGCTGCACTGCTGCCGAACGCCACTCCACCCCTGGCTTCCTCGCTCCCTACTGCACCATCCACAGCACCAGCCTTCATCACTCCTCCATCTTCCCCTTCCCCCCCCCTCCCCCTCCCTGTTCCCCTTCCCGTTCTGCTCCACCTGTTGCTGCCGATCCATTCACACACTGCCCCTCCTCGTTCCCCTGCCCTCCCCCCTCCGGCACATCTGCAACATGCCTGTCCACCCTTCTCTCTCCCACGCCCCATTGCTCCTGCACACTCCCACTCCAACCAGTGGCCACCGCCCCAGTCGCAACACTTCTTGCTCTCTTCCACCCCTCCGGCCTGCAGCCCTCCGCAGGACCCGCTCCAATCGCCCCCACTGCCTTCCCAGCAGCACCACCCACTCCCTCCTCCCTGCTCCCATGCATTCCCGCTACAACCCGGGCCGCTACAGCCGCCAGAGCAGCAGCACCTGCACCTTCTTGCTTCCCTGCATCTGTGGGCCCGTGTCCTCTCTGCGCCCCGACTATCCCGACTGAGCCTGAAGCTGCTGGGAGCTCCGAGCCGGGAACAGGTGCCCCTGGCTGAGAGGCCGCTTTCACAGAGAGGAGGATGTCCTTCCAAGTCTTGCTGCTGCCATTTCCCTCGCTTGATGCCACAGGGGCCAGGAACGAGTGGGCGGCGGCTGTCGTCTCCTCTGCTTGCATGCGTCTCTCCAGCTCTCTCATGTTCTCTTGCATGCCATCAGCTGTTTCCACTTCTGCCTCTCCATCTTCCGCCTCCTCCTCCTCATTCTCCTCCTCATTCTCCTCATCTTCTCCTCCTCTCCCTTCCTCCTCCCTCTCACCTTCTTTTCCCTCCCCTGTCTCTCCACCACCACCCCCATCTTCCTCCAAGGCAGGGCCAACTGTAGACCCTGCAGGTACTGTCTTGCTCCAAACCCCCACCCCACCTCCTACCATCGCCCCAGGAGATCGCACTACCATCTGTCGATCCAACGACTGTGATTTGCTGTACCCCCCACTCCCTCCCCCACTCCCCAAACCCGCACCCCCCGATTCCCCTATCCCCACCCCTCCACCCCCTCCCCCCTCCCCCAATCCAGCCCCCCTCCTCCCCGCCCCTTCCCGGAAATCCAAATCCCTCGATGAATCACGAAACTCACCGAACCTCGGGTCCCTCGCACCGCCGCCGAACCTCGCGATGCTGCCGAACCTGGGCGGCAGCCCGAACCTCTCCCGAGACAGGCCCCTACCCATTGGCGACTGGCTCGGACTCACGGATGAGGTTCGGAAGGGAACAGGACCAGCATAAGGATGGGGAGAGGTGGAATTACGAGGGAGGTTAGGAGAGGGGAGGCGGCGGTGGGGGGAGACCCCTGCCAGTGCTGCTGCTGCAGCAGCTGCCGAGTCTAAGGCTCGGAAGCCGCTCGGGCTGAAGCTACCACGTGGACGAATGGGGCTGACGAGGTGGGAGGAGGGGGCGCGGGTGTAGCAGGGGAGGTGGGCGGAAGGGGAGCGAGGGATAGGGTGGGGCGAGGGGGAGTAGGGTCGGGGGATGAGGTGGGAGGAGGAAGTGGGATACTGCAGATGCTGCTGCTGCTGCTGGCTGCTCTTCTTGTCACTGTTAGCCTGGGTCGGGCTGTTAGGGACGTGGTGGAATCTAGCAGCAGTGGAGTGGGCATAGGTGTCCTTGTCCTGAAGTGAAGAGTCAGAGTGGTTTGTGGGGAGAGAGGAGTGGGAGGCGGAAGGAGGAGGATGAGGGGGAGCAGAGGCTATGGCACAAGGTACAGCAGCAGCCAGGGTCGTCACAGTGCTGTTAGTGCTTGTGCTGGAATCAGCTGCAGCAGAGGCCAAGGCCGCAGAAGCCAGGGTCTTCACACGCCCCTCAATGGCTTCCAGAGAGGAGTCGTCCCAAGCAGTGCTGTTAGTGCTTGTGCTGGAATCAGCTGCAGCAGAGGCCACAGCAGCAGCAGCAGCAGCCAGCGCCCTGACACGCCCCTCGGCAACGTCTAGCGAGGGGTCCTTTGAAGCTGCACTATCGGTGTCAGGGGTGGTGTCCACAGCAGAAGCAGCAGCAACAGAGGCAGCAAGTGCCTTGACACGGCCCTCGGCAACTTCTAGAGATGCAGCTTCCTTGGAAAGTGTGCTGGTGGTATTGTCAGCAGCAGAAGGCGTGAGAACAGCCGCTGCAAGAGCCTTCACACGCCCCTCTGCTACTTCAAGCAGAGCATCTTCGGAAGGCGCACTGGTGGTGCCAACAGTGGCAGAAGACGTGAGAACTGCAGCAGCCAGAGCCTTCACACGCCCCTCAGCTGTTTGCAGAGAGGGGTCCCATGAGGCAGCGCTTTCGGTGTCAGGAGCGGTGTCAATACCAGCAGCAGCAACAGTTGCAGCCAGAGCTCTCACACGCCCCTCAGCCGCCTGGAGAGGGGGGTCCTTTGAAGCAGCACGGTTAGTTTCAGCAGTCGTGTCTCCCACAGCAGCAACAGAGGCAGCAAGGGCCTTCACACGCCCTTGGACAATATCCAGAGCGTCTGTCTCTTTAGGGGGTGCACCGGTGGAGTCAGCTCCCGCAGATGCCACCACAGCAGCAAGAGCCCTCACACGCCCCTCTGCCGCTTGGGGAGAGGGGTCCTTTGAAGCCGCACTGTCGGTGTCAGCAGTGGTGTCAACACTAGCAGCAACAGAGGCAGCAAGGGCCTTCACATGCCCCTCTGCCGCTTGGAGAGAGGGATCCTTTGAAGCCGCACTGTCGGTGTCAGCAGTGGTGTCCACACTAGCAGCAGCCACGGACGCAGCAAGAGCCTTCACCCGCCCCTCAGCAACATCCACAGTCGTCTCCTTGGAGGGTGCACCGGTGATGTCATCAGCAGAAGACGACGTGAGAACAGCAGCAGCCAGAGCCTTCACCCGCCCCTCAGCCGCTTGGAGGGAGGGGTCCCTTGAAGCAGCCCCGTTGGAGTCAGCGTCAGTATCAGCAGTGGTAGCAACACCACCAGATGCCACCACAGCAGCAAGAGCCTTCACCCGACCCTCACCAACTTCAAGAGTCGCCTCCTTGAAGACTGGGCTGGTGGGTTCAGCAGCAGAAGAAGACGTTACAACAGCAGCAGCAAGGGCCTTCACACGCCCCTCGGACACAGCCAGTGAGGGGTCTCTGGCAGATACCCTGCCGGTAACACCGGTGCTGTCAGCCAATGAGGGGTCCTTGGCAGGCGTGCTGTCAACTGTGCTGGAGGGTGTGGTAGGCTCGGAGCTGGAAAGGGAAGATGAAGTTGCTGGAGTGGCTGCAGCAGCAGCAGCAGTGGCCGAAGAACCAGCTGCACTGCTGCTGGTCGCCAGAGGAGGGGCAGCAGGAGGAGCAGCAGCAGAAGCGACAGCAGCTGCAGCAACAGCAGCAGCCAGCGAACGCACCCGCCCTTGGGAAACGCTCAGCTCTTCCTCACCTCCCTCCTTCCCTCCACTCTCACCACCACCACTGCTGCTGTTGCTGCTACTGCTGATTGCACCAGCAGCTACAGCTGCAGCCAGGGACCGCACCCTGCTGCCACCCTCACTGGTGGTCTCCTCCCTTGCCCCACTCCCCATGCTCGCATTGCTGTCGCTGCTGGTGCTGCCGTTGCTGTTGCCACTGTCGGCGTTGCTGAGTGCGCCGGCAGCCACAGCAGCAGCCAGGGACCGCACCCTGCTGCCACCCTCACTGGTGCCTCCCTCCCTTGCTCCACTCCCCGTGCTGGCATCGCTGCTGCCGCTGCTGTTGCCAATGCTGTCGCTACAGTCAGTGTTGCCCAGACCACCAGCACTCACAGCAGCAGCCAGGGACCGGACCCTGCCGCCAGACCCACTGCTACTCTCCTCCCATGTTCCTGAGCTAGTGTTGACCTCTTCTCTGCCTGTGTGAGCAGAGGAAGTACCAAGGGCGGAAGCATCACTCACAGCAGCAGCCATGGACGGAACTCTATTACTGGGTTCACTGCTGCTGCTGCTGCTGCTGCCATCCTGCACGTCTGTGTGTGCTGTTCTCTCGTCCTCATGTGCTTCTGCCCCTGCATCCTCATCCGCCTCGTCAGCACCCCCTGCCTCCTCTCCAGCACTCCCAAGCCTAACCATCTCCACATCCTCCTCCCCGTGCTCCCCGCCAGGACTCCCTAGCTGAACCACTTCCACATACTCCTCCTCCTCCGCTCCTAGGCCGTGCTTCGAATCGTCACCACTCACCCGCAAACCCTCTTGCTCCTCCCCGGTACTCCCCAGCTCATCCATTTCCACACCCCCCTCCTCTGCACCTACATTGTCCCGCGAATTGCTGCTGCCCGGTTCCAAGCCCTCTTGCTCCTCCTCAGGTTGAATCTCCCCGTCCTCCATCTCCCAAGCGTCAGCGCCCGAGTACTCTCCCTCATGCTCCCCAGCCTCTGTGTCTGTGCACCCTGCCTCGTGCTCTGGATGCTGCTCCTCCTCCTGCTCGGTTTGATTCTCCCCCACGTCCTCTGTGCTCCAAGCGTCAACGCCCAAGTACTCTTCCTCGTGTTCCCCAGCCTCCGAATCTGTGCACCCTGCCTCGCGCTCTAGGTCCTGCTCCTCCTCCTCATTCCCCTCACTCTCCTCCTCATTCCCCTCTCTCTCCTCATTTTCATTGTTCTCCACTCCGTCTTGCTCTTCCTCTTCTTCCTCTTCTGCCACCTCCTCCTCCTCCTCCTCCTCTTCCTCTTCCTCCTCCACCTCCTCATGTTCTTCCTCCTCCCTCTCTTCTTCTGCTTCCTCCTCTTCCTCTTCTCCACTCTCACCCTCACCCTCACCTTCACCCTCATCATCCCCCTCCTCCTCCTCTTCATCATTAGCATCCTCCTCTTCCTCCTCCTCTACTTCCTCCTCTTCCTCGTCTTCCTCCTCCTCACTGCTGTCATCCAGCAAAGCCGGACGTTTTCTTTCCTTCATCACACTCCCAGCGCCCCCCTTGGCCGCACTCCCAGTGAGCCCCATGATTTCCTTGGTCACCGCGCTGGCAGGGACGTGCAGGCCCTGTGCCGCCACCATCGACAGCAGGCGGGATCGCTGCAGGGGCCAAAGAGGAACGAGAGAAAGGGAGTCAGAGGGAGAGGGAGGGAGAGGGAGAGGGAGAGGGAGGGAGAGAGAGGGAGAAGGAGAGGCATTAGTTTTTTGGTCACCGCACTGGCGGCGGGCACATGCAGGCCCTGTGCCGCCACCATAGACAGCAGGCGCGACCGCTGCAAGAGGGGTGGGTGGAGGAACGAGAGGGAGGCACATGTCCCGGTGCGTGGCGGTTGGGAGAGGCACAAGCTTAGATGAGTGGAAGGCGTGCCTCTGCACAAGGTTAGATGAGTCCTACCTTTTGAGTCGACTCAAAACGGACTTACTATCATACCTTTTGAGTCGACTCAAAACGAACTTACTATCATACCTTTTGAGTCAACTCAAAACGAACTTACTATCATACCTTTTGAGTCGACTCAAAACGAACTTACTATCATACCTTTTGAGTCGACTCAAAATGAACTTACTATCATACCTTTTGAGTCGACTCAAAACGAACTTACTATCATACCTTTTGAGTCGACTCAAAACGAACTTACTATCATACCTTTTGAGTCGACTCAAAACGAACTTACTATCATACCTTTTGAGTCGACTCAAAACGAACTTACTATCATACCTTTTGAGTCGACTCAAAACGAACTTACTATCATACCTTTCCTGGACTGTGTGGGTTGGGTCGACCAGCAACAGCCATGGCAGGCAGCGCAACAGGCGCCACTGCTGCTGCCGCCACCCCCGCATGCACCACTGCAGCACCGCCACCACCACCAGCACCACCAGAGGCCCCTGCCCCCTTCCCGTCATCCCCCGCTCCCTCCCCACCGCCGTCTTCCTCCCCCTCCCCGCGGATGCCTTGGCGCAGGCGCAGCTCCCCGAGCACCACGTTGAAGCGCTTCATGCTGGCCACGCGCAGCCGCAGCTTACGCTGCTCCTCCGCGTTGCGCTCCTCCTGCTCCTGCCTCCTTAGCTTTGTTTCCTCGTCATCCTCCTCCTCCTGCTTCTCTTCAGCCTTCTTCTTCGGGCTGCTTCCGGTGCTGCTGGGGCTGCTGCTCGTGCTCTCTTTTTCGCTTTCCTCCTCTTCCTCATCCTCCTGCTCCTCCACTTCCTCTTCCTCTTCCTGCTCCTCGTATTCTTCATACTCCTCCTCGTGTTCCTCCTCCTGCTGCCCATCTTCTTCCTCTTGCTCCCCCTCTTGTCCCTCGTTGCTTTCTGCCTCTTTTCCACCAGTTGCTTCTGTCGCCTCCTCTGCGGCCTCCTCAGTTTCATCCTCGTCAGTAACTTCCTCTGTAACCTCTACAGTAACTTCCTCTTCAGTGTACTCCTCTGTAACCTCCACAGTCACCTCCTCATATTCCTCGGTCACCTCTTCTGTAACCTCCACTGTAACTTCCTCATATTCCTCTGTCACCTCTTCTGTAACCTCCACAGTAACTTCCTCATATTCCTCTGTCACCTCTTCTGTAACCTCTACTGTAACTTCTTCATATTCCTCGGTCACCTCTGCGGTTACCTCTTCGTATTCCTCTGTAACTTCTACAGTGACTTCCTCATACTCCTCTGTTGCTTCAACCGTAACTTCCTCATACTCCTCTGTCACTTCCACAGTCACTTCCTCGGAGGACCCCGCTTCACTCGCCTCTCCTCCCTCACTCCCTTCTTCCTCCTCTCCCTCTGCATCCTCCTCCTCTGCCTCAGACTCCTCTTTGCCCTCTGTAGCACTTCCCTCTTCCTCTTTCGCTTCTTCTGCTTCTTCCTCTTCTTTGTCTTCTTTTCCTTCCTCCCCTTCTTCTTCGCCCTGTTCCTCCTCCCAAGTCTGCTCCCCCCCCTCCTCCCACTCCTGCTGGTCCTCCCACTGCTTCCCCCCCTCCTCTACACCCTCCTCCTCCGCACCCCCATCCGCCTGCGCCCTTCCCTCTCCCACCAACTCCCCTGTCTTCTCTTCGTCAGGCCCAACCACCACCATTGCTGCCTCTGAACCGTTCTCCACCTCCCCACTTCCCTCTGCTGCCAACTCGGCTGCTGACGTGCTGCCCTCCTCTGCAGCTGTCTCTGCTCCCCCGGCCACAGCCTCTTCCACTCCCACTGTCACTGGCCCCCTTTTACCAATGCTCACTCCACCCGCTTCGTCGTCTTCTGGGCCACCCTCTCCACCCTCTCCCCCTTCTCCCGTGCTTACAACGCCCTCTCCACGTCCCAAGCCTCCCAGTTCCTTCCCCTGCATAACACCAGGTACAGCAGCAGCTGCGGCTACAACCACAGCGGCTGCTGCACCAGCAGCAGGAGCTGTAAAGGCGCTATCGGTTGCCACTGTGGTAGAACCGACAGAAACGGCGCTCTCAGCTGCAGCAGCAGGGGCAGCACCGCCAGCGGTGGCAGTGGAAGCAACATCATCCGCAGCAGCAGCAGCACCAACTGAAGCAGCAACCTCGGGGCTGTGAGGTTGCACACGAGGAGACACAGAAAACTGCTGCTGCTGCTGCTGCTGCTGCTGCTGTTGTGGAGATTTAAGAGGAGGCAGGGAGGCCTGCTGCTGCTGCTGCTGCTGCTGCTGCTGCTGCTGCTGCTGCTGCTGCTGCTGCTGCTGCTGCTGTTGGAAGCGGTTGAGGAAGTCACTTCGCAGCCGCCCCACGGCTGCTGTTTGGGTAGGCGAGGCGGAAGGCTCTGGGGCTGCTGCTGCTGGCACTGCTGCTGAACTCGCCACACCTGCTCTCCAGGATCGGATCGGCACAGGCTTGGGTGCAGGTTCGGAGTCAGACCAGTCGGAATCCGACCCTGAGTCGGACTTGGCCTGGTTGGGCCGCCTCATCCACGAGTCTGCAGCGCGTGGCTTAATGGTGATGGCAGGCGTGGCGAGGAGAGGAGTGGAAGGTTGAGGGGAGGAGAGGGGTTGAGGGGAGGTGATGGAAGGAGCAGCAAAGGCGGCCTCTGGTGCTGCAATGGGTGTGGTAGGTGATGGCTCCTCGGCTGCAGGAGTAGGTGCATCTGCTGCAGGGCTGGGTGCATCCGCCACCCCCTCTTCCACTACCTCTACTGCTGCCGCCTGTCCCACTGCCTCACCGCCTGCCGCCTCTCCATCCTCCCCTGCCTCTGCCTCTTTCTCTCTGTGTGCCTCTGGAGTCGTCTCTGCTTGCAGCCCTGCGAGACTCGCCCTTCCACCAACACTCTCACTGCCCTCTGCTTGGCTGTTATCTGATCTTGCTGCTTCACCTTCCGTTCCACTCTTTTCCCCAACCTCTCCTGCTGCGCCTGTCTCTGCTGCTGGCGTCGCTGCTCCCACCACATCACCGGAACCACCAGAAACACCGCCCTTCGAAGTAGTGGTGGCAACAGAAGAACTATCAGAATCAGCAGCACCAGTAGCAGTCGACAGTTGTCCAGGAGAAGTCGCAGGGGCCTGCTGCTGCTGCTGTTGGAAGCGGTTGAGGAAGTCACTTTGCAGCCGCCCCACAGCTGCTGGTGGGGGAGGGGAGGCAGCGGCAGGCACTGCTGCTACTGCCGCTACAGCACTCCCCGTGCCTGCTCTCCAGGCTCGGATGGGCACAGGCTTGGGTGCAGGTTCGGAGTCAGACCAGTCAGAGTCCGAGCCTGAGTCGGAGGGAGAGCGGTTCTTTTGCCTCATCCAAGAGTCTGGGGCGCGTGGCTTGATAGTGACAGCAGGCGCGGTGAGGGGAGAAGAAGAGGAAGGCTCGATGGTGGCAGCAGGTGTGGGTAGCTGTGCTGACGGGAGGAGGGTGGGAGGGTGAGGGGCGGAGAGTGGGGGAGGGGAAGAGGCAGCCACGACAGCATCGCCCTGAGCCTCTTCTTCCGCTCTCTCCTCCTTAGCCTCTTCCTCCCTCTCCGCCTTAGCCTCTTCCTCTCTCTCCACCTTAGCCTCTTCCTCTCTCTCCGCCTTAGCCTCTTCCTCTCTCTCCGCCTTAGCCTCTTCCTCTCTCTCCGCCTTAGCCTCTTCCTCTCTCTCCGCCTTAGCCTCTTCCTCTCTCTCCGCCTTAGCCTCGTCCTCTCTCTCCGCCTTAGCCTCTTCCTCTCTCTCCGCCTTAGCCTCTTCCTCCCGCTCCACCTTAGCCTCTACCTCCCTCTCCTCCCGAGCCCTTTCCTCTCTCTCGACCTTAGCCTCTTCTCCTCTTTCCTCCTTTACGTCTTCCTCCCTCTCTTCCTCATCCCCTTCTCCCCTCTCTTCCTTATACCCTTCCTCCATCTCCTCCTTAGCCTCTTCCTCTCTCTCTTCCTCATCCCCTTCTCCCCTCTCTTCCTTATACCCTTCCTCCATCTCCTCCTTAGCCTCTTCCTCTCTCTCTTCCTCATCCCCTTCTCCCCTCTCTTCCTTATACCCTTCCTCCATCTCCTCCTTAGCCTCCTCCTCTCTCTCTTCCTCATCCCCTTCTCCCCTCTCTTCCTTATACCCTTCCTCCATCTCCTCCTTAGCCTCCTCCTCTCTCTCTTCCTCAGCCTCTGTAGTTGTCAGCGACTTCTCCTCATGCCCTACCATAGGTAAGCCCCCTTCCTTCACCTTCATTATTGTCACACCCTCTCCCTTCACCTCCATTATTGTCAGATCCGCTTCCATCGCCCCCTCTGCCTTGCCATCCCCCACTGCCCCCCCAGCGCCCCCAGCTGCTTGCACAAATGAGGCGTCAGGACTGGCTTGCACAGCATGTTGCTGCTGCTGCTGCTGCTGCTGCTGCTGCTGCTGCTGCTGCTGCTGGAAGCGGTTGAGGAAGTCACTTTGCAGCCGCCCCACAGCTGCTGGGGGGGGAGGAGAGGTGGCAGGAGTAGCAGCAGCTACTGCCAATACCGTACCTGCTCTCCAGGCTCGGATGGGCACAGGCTTGGGTGCAGGTTCGGAGTCGGACCAGTCAGAGTCGGAATCAGAGCCGGAGTGGGAAGAAGGCTGCGCTGGGCGGATCCAGGAATTGGCAGGGCGAGAGGGAATGGTGTCCAAGGGGGCTGTTGTATCAACTGCTGCTGCTGCTTGCCCCTCCCGCATTGCTGCTTGCCCCTCCCCCATTGCTGCTTCTTCTGCCGCCACTGCTGCTTTCTCCTCCACTGCTGCTTTTTCCTCCGCCGCTCTTTCTTCCACTTTTGCTTCTCCGTCCACTGCCTCTCCTCCTTCCACCTCTGCGGCATCAAATATCTGCTCGCCACCAAGCTCTCCTCCCTCTGTTGCCTGCACTGCCACTGAGACAGCCTTGACTATCCACTCGCCACCAGCGCTGCTAGCATCCACTGCCACTGCTCCAGCCCCAGTATTCTCAAGCTCCACATTCGCTTTCTCCACACTCTCTCTCTCCACACTCTCTCCCTCCACACTCTCGTCCTTCACCCTCTCTGCCTCCACATCCTCTCCCTCCAAACCTCTTTCCTCTCCCACGGTTTTCTCCGTCAATCCCCCACTCTCCTCCTTCGGCTCCTCCTCCTCCTTCTCCTCCTCCCTCTCCCTTTCCTCCCCCCTCTCCTCCTTCTCCTCCTCCCTCTCCCCTTCCTCCTCCCTCCCCTCTTCCTCCTCCCTCGCACCTGGAGCCACCAGCAGTACATCAGATGCAGGGGCGAAGGCGGGGCTGAGAGAAGGCGCTTCAGCAGCAGCAGGGGAGTCAGGCGAGATTGCATCTTCCTTCTGCTCCAGCCTCTCCCTCTCCTCCACCCTCTCATGCTCCCTCTCCTCTTCCCTCTCCTCTTCCTTCTCCTCCCTCCCCTCTTCCTCCTCCTCACTCTCACTTCGACCCACTGACTGCGCGTCAGACACAAGGGAGGAGGCGGGGCTGAGATGAGGCTCTTTTGCAACAGCAGGGGAGTCAGGCGAGATTGCATCTTCCTTCTGTTCCAGCCTCTCCTTCTCCTCCTCCCTCTCCTCCTCCATCTCCTCCTCCATCTCCTCCTCCCTCTCCTCTTCTTCCTCCTCCCTCTCACTCCGAGCCACAGACTGTTTGTCAGGGGCAGGGGGGGAGGCAGGTCTGGGAGAAGCAGATTCAGCAACAGCAGTGGACTCAGGCGATATCTCATCGCCCTTCTGCCCCAGCCTCTCCCTCTCCTCCTCCCTCTCCCTCTCCTCCTCCCTCTCCCTCTCCTCCTCCCTCTCCCTCTCCTCCTCCCTCTCCCTCTCCTCCTCCCTCTCCCTCTCCTCCTCCCTCTCCTCATCCTCCCTCTCCTCTTCCTCCTCCTCCCTCTCACATGGAGCCACTGGCTGTGTGTCAGACGCAGGGGCGGGGCTGAGAGCAGACGCTTCAGCAACAGCAGGCGAGATCGCGTCTTCCTTCTGCTCCACCCTCTCTCTTTCTTCTTCCCTCTCCTCTTCTTCCTCCTCCCTCTCCTCTTCTTCTCCCTGCCTCTCCTCTTCCTCCTCCTCCCTTTCACTCAAAGCCACTGACTGCGAGTCAGAGACAGGGGCGGAGGCGGGGCTGAGAGAAGGAGCTTCAGCAACAGCAGTGGAAGCTGGTGACATCTCATCTCCCTTCCGCTCCAGCCCCTCCCTCTCCTCCTCCCTCTCCTCCTCCCTCTCCCTTTCACTTGGAGCCACGGATTGTGCGTCAGAGGCAGGGGCGGAGGCGGGCCTGAGAGGAGGTGCTTCAGCAACAGCAGGGGAATCAGGCGATATCTCATCTCCCTTCTCCTCCCCCCTCTCCTCATCCCGCTCCTCTTTCTCCTCCCTCTCCTCCTCCCTCTCCTCTTCCTCCTCCTCACTCCCTTCTTCCTCCTCCTCCCTCTCCTCTTCCTCCTCCTCCCTTTCACTCGAAGCCACTGACTGCGAGTCAGAGGCAGGGGCGAAGTCGGGGCTGAGAGAAGGTGCTTCAGCAACAGCAGGGGAAGCAGGCGAAATCCTATCTTCGTTCTGCTCCAGCTCCTCCCGCTCCTTCTTCCTCTCTTCCTCCCTCTCCTCCTCCCTTTCCTCATCGCTCTCCTTTTCTTCCTCCTCCCTCTCCCTCTCCTCCTCCTCCCTCTCGATTGGAGCCACTGACTGCGTGTCAGACGCAGGGGGAGAAGCAGGTGGTTCCGCCCCAGCAGGCGCATGGGGCACCGGAGGTGAATCAAGCAGAGCAACAACTTCAGCCACAGTAGGTGAATGAGGCACAGCAGGTGAATGAGGCACATCGTGTGAATGAGGCACAGCAGGTGAATCAGGTAGTATTGTAGGTGAATCAGATGAAGCTTTTGACGCAACCTCTGCAGCCGCGTCAACGAACGCAATCGCATCAGCATTAGCAAGTGCATCAACAGCTGCACCCACACCAGTGGCGGCATCAACGGCAGCCACATCAGCACCAACAGCCACATCAGCACCAACAGCTGCACCCACGTCAGCGTTGGCCATTTCGTCATCTGACTCAGCATCGGCACCATCAGCAGCAACAGCTTCCCCCACCTGCAGCACCCTTTCTGTGCCATCACCCCCCCCCCCTTCCTCCACCTCCTCGGCTTCACCTGCAGAGTCAGATTCGGAGTTAGGCGCTGATGGGGCTGGTGTCGCCGCTGCGGATTCACCTGTCGCATCCAAGGCACGCCGCTTGCCTTCCCCTCTTGCTCCACCCCCTCGGCTTCGGCTGCAGAGTCAGATTCGGAGTTAGGTGCTGATGGGGCTGGTGCCGCTGCGGCTTCACCTGCTGGGACTGAGACTGGCTGCTTGTCTTCAACGCCACTCCCTGCTCCCAAGTCACTCTCTGCTTCCACGTCACTCGCTGCTTCCACGTCACTCCCTGCTCCCACGTCACTCTCTGCTTCCACGTCACTCCCTGCTCCCACGTCACTCTCTGCCTCCACGTCACTCTCTGCTTCCACGTCACTCTCTGCTTCCGCGTCACTCACTGCTTCCACGTCACTCTCTGCTTCCACGTCACTCCCTGCTTTCACGTCACTCTCTGCTTCCACGTCACTCCCTGCTTCCACGTCACTCCCTGCTTCCACGTCACTCCCTGCTTCCACCTCTCCTGCCTCCACCACTTCTGCTTCCATACCACTCTCCCCTTCCGCCTCCCTCTCTCCTTCCACCTTGCTTTCTCTTTCGAATTCACGTCTTTCTGATTCTTCTGCTCCCACCGCATTCTCTCCTTCCGCCTCACTTCTTCTTTCTCTTTCTGTTCCTTCTGATTCCACCTCTTCTGCCCGCCTTTTCGTCGCCAGTAAGGGTTCGACCACCCCACTCGCCAGCAGCAAACTAGCCCCTCCAGGCCCACACAGAGCTTCATCAGCAGCCACATCAGATGCCACATCAGCAGCCACACCAGACGCCACAGCGATTGCGGCATCAGAAGCCACATCAGAAGCCACATCAGATGCCACATCAGATGCCACATCAGATGCCACATCAACAGCATCTTGCATGCCGATGGTTGACCCTTCTGGAGAAGATGGCCTCGCATCCACATCAGCAGGAGACGCCACGTCAGCAGCAGATTCCACAAGTGCAGGCCCGTCCCCATCGGCAAACACATCATCATGCCCATCAGCAGCTAATTCTGCTTTACCCTCAGCTGCATGCTCCACATCAGCAGCTTGTTCCACGTCACCAGCAAATTCCACATCAACAGCTGAGTCAGCAGTGGCTATTTGTAGTGTTTCTTGTGAGAAGCGAGGGGAAGTTGCAGAAACCTGCTGCTGCTCTTGAGAATTCTCAAAAAGCATAGCAGGAGGCTCAGAGGGCTGCTGTTGCTGTTGCTGTTGGGGAGATGTAAGAGGAGCCACAGAGGGTTGCTCCACTTCCTGCTGCTGCTGCTGCTGCTGCTGCTGCTGCTGCTGCTGCTGCTGCTGTTGGAAGCGGTTGAGGAAGTCACTTCGCAGCCGTCCCACAGCTACTGCGGGGCGAGGAGAGGCGGCAGGCACAGGGCGGGTGCTGCTGCTGGCACTGCTGCTGCGCTCGCCACACCTGCTCTCCAGGATCGGATCGGCACAGGCTTGGGCGCAGGTTCGGAGTCGGACCAGTCAGAGTCGGAATCAGAGCCGGAGTGCGAAGAAGGGTGCGCTGGGCGGATCCAGGAATTGGCAGGGCGAGAAGCAACAGAGGGAGCAGAGGGAGCAATGACAGCAGCAGGGACTGTTGAGATAGCAGGGGTGGCTGAGACAGCAGGGGCGCTTGCCAGCGAGACAGGACTCGAGACAGGTGGGACTCCTGACGCCACAGGCTCAAGTGGCGCTGCAATGCACAGGTCACTGCTTGCACTGGTAACCGCTTCTGCTTTGTCTGCGGTGACTGCTTTCAACTCCAGCAGAAGCCTCCTCCTGCTGAGACACCTCAACGCCTGCAGTCGCCTCATCATCATCAGCAGCAGCGGCAGCGGCGGCGTCATACTCCCCACTCTCTTCCTGTGTCGACACCACTGAATCTCCAGCCTCTTCCACGCCACCCACCCCTGCTCCATCTTCCTCCTCTCCACCTCCCCCAGTTTCGCCCTCCACCTTCACCTCCCTCACTAACCCCTCCTCTACTCCAGTGTGCCCCTGCAGCCACTCAACCCCTCCTCCTCCTTCCTGCCCAAGCCCCACCTCTGCTTGATAGACCCCCCCTGCCACTGCTTTTCCACCAATCGCTGCCACTGCATCTCCACCCATCGCCGCCTCTGCATCAACCGCCACCTGTCTCCCAGCCGCTACCTCCCTGTCAGCCCCTGCGATACTGGCAGCATCTGCCTCGCTTTCTGCGATACCGGCAGCATCTGCCTCGCTTTGTGCCTCCTGGGTTGCCTCCCCAACCCTCAAACCCTCGCTGTGCAACCCGGCTAGAGCCTCTTCTGCATCACTCTCTTCTGGATGAGTCACTCTCTCATTCCTCAACTGCTCGTCTGCGCTTCCTCCCCCACTCTCACTCCATCCCTCACTCTCACTGTCCCTTCCACTCGCCCTCTCGCTTTCACTTGCACTCTCCCCCTCACTCTCACTGCCCATGTTACTCTCCCTCCTGCTCTCTACCTCACTCTCTTTCTCACTCATGCTCTCACTACTTCTTCTGCTCTCACTACTTCTTCTGCTCTCACTACTTCTTCTGCTCTCACTACTTCTTCTGCTCTCACTACTTCTTCTGCTCTCATTACTTCTTCCGCTCTCACTCCTCCTCTCACTTTCACTCTCACTCCCCCCTTCACTCTCACCATCCTGGTTGCTCTCCCTCTCACTCGCACTCTCACTCCCCCTCTCACTGTCACCTTCGCTCTCTACCTCACTCTCACTGTCCCTTTTGCTCTCACTCTCACTCCCACTCACACTCACACTCACACTTCCCCTCTCACTGTCATCTTCTTTCTTTCCCCCACTCTCAGTGTCGCTTTTGCTCTCTCTCTCACTCTCCCGCTCCATCTCACCCTCCCTCTCCCTCTCACCCTCACTCTCCATCTCACCCTCACTCTCCATCTCACCCTCACTCTCCATCTCACCCTCCCTCTCCCTCTCACCCTCACTCTCCATCTCACCCTCACTCTCCATCTCACCCTCACTCTCCTTCGCCTGCTCCCTATCATTCTCGCTCTCGCTCCTTCTCTCATACTCCACTCCACTCCCTTCTGCATCTGCATGCAAAATCGCCACCGCAACTTCCTCCTCCACTCTCTCCTCCTCTTTCTCCTCCTCCACACCCCCCTCCTCATCCCTCCTCTCTTCCACACCCCCCTCCTCATCCCTCCTCTCTTCCACACCCCCCTCCTCATCCCTCCTCTCTTCCACACCCCCCTCCTCATCCCTCCTCCTCTTCCACACCCCCTCCTCATCCCTCCTCTCTTCCACACCCCCCTCCTCAACTGACGTCTGCAGAACCTCCAGCTCCTCACGACCCTGCCCCTTGTCCTCCTCACCCACACGCCGAGGAGACTGCTGAGTTGACTCAAAAGTCACCTCATCCCCACGCCTCTCATCAGCACGCAGATTGCCGTCTCCTCCCACACTTTCTGCCACTAGTGTGCTGCTTGCTCGCACCACCTCCTGCTCTTTGCTGCCAAGGACTCCTTCCCTGGCATCCATCTCCCCCCCACTCCTCGTCGACCTCCTCTCTCTCAACATCCTCCTCCTGCTTCTCGGCCTCATCTCTCTCCACATCACCATCCTTCTTCCTTCCTACTTCCTCCATCTCCCCTCACTCCCGTCATCAGCCTCCCCTGCTCCCTCACTCTCAACCTCCCCTTCCCCTGCACTCACACTCTCCTCTCCTCCGGACCGCCCATCCTCCTCCCACTCACCCACACCGGACCCCACATCACTCCACTCGTCGCTCTCCCCTTCTGCTGCCAACATGCCACCTGCCTCTGCTGCTAGCGTCTCATCTCCCTGTGCTTCCAACAACCCACGTGCCTCTGCTGCTGCCATGTCTCCCACACTTAACTCAGAAGCTGCTTGCGTACCCACAAAGCCAGTCTGTGCTACAAAAGGCTCCACATCCTCCCCTGCTCGCACCCGCCTCTTCCCTTTCAACAGCTTCCGCTGCTACTGCACTCCCCGCCTCGCTGCTTCTAGCGTCGCATCTCTCTGTGCTGCCAACACCCCACCTGCCTGTGCTACCAACAACTCGCTATCTTCCAGTGTCACCACTCCATCGCCCACTGTCAACTCTTGAGTCGACTCAAAAGTCGCTCCATCGCCCACTGTCAACTCAGAAGCTGCTTGGCGACCCACCAAGCCCGACTGTGCTTCCAAAGGCTCCCCATCCTCCGCTCTGCTCACACCCGCCTCTCCCTTCAGCAGCTTCCGCTACTCCTTCACTCCCCACCTCTGTCCCTTCAACAGCTCCCTCCTCTCCTCGGCCACCCCATTGGCCCTCTTCAGAATGGGAGTCATCATCGGCTCCACCTGCTGCAGCATGCAAGGCTGGGACCGCGATGGAAGCATCAGTGTCTGCTTGAGATTCCATCACCTCAATTGCTGCCTCGCTTGCTGCCTCGCTTGCTGCCTCGCTTGCTGCCTCGCTTGCTGCCTTGCTTGCTGCCTCGCTTGCTGCCTCGCTGCCCTCGCTTGCTGCCTCGCTTGCTGCCTCGCTTGCTGCTCGCTTGCTGCCTCATTTGCTGCCTCGCTTGCTGCCTCGCTTGCTGCCTCGCTTGCTGCCTCGCTTGCTGCCTCGCTTGCTGCCTCGCTTGCTTCCTCCCTTGCTGCCTCGCTTGCTGCCTCGCTTGCTGCCTCGCTTGCTGCCTCGCTTGCTTCCTCCCTTGCTGCCTCGCTTGCTTCCTTGCTTGCTGCCTCCCTTGCTTCCTCACTCGCGGCCACCGTGGCCTCTTCTGTGACCACTTCATTTCCCTCTTGAGGTGACTCTCTCCCACTCTCCTCCCCCTCACTCGCATCCCTAGTTTCCCCATCAGTGTCTTCTCTCACCCTAGTTTCAGAAGCTTCTGCCTTGCTCCCTTCGTTCTCACTCCCTTCGTTCTCACTCCCTTCGTTCTCACTCCCTTCGTTCTCACTCCCTTCGTTCTCACTCCCTTCGTTCTCACTCCCTTCGTTCTCACTCCCTTCGTTCTCACTCCCCTCGTTCTCACTCCCTTCGCTCTCACTTCCATCCATGTCAGACCATTCCTTGTCACTAACATCACTCTCCCCGCCCTCATCACCTGCCGTTTCACTCTCCCCTACCTCTCTTCCTGCCTCCTCAACGCTCCCTCCACTCCCGATCTCCTCCATACCAACACTGCTGATGACCACAGCCACATCAGCATCACTGGTTAACGCATTGCCCGTTTCACTGGTTACCGCATCCCCAGCATCACTGGTTACCGCATCACCAGCATCACTGATTACCGCATCGCCAGCTTCACTGGTTACCGCATCACCAGCATCACTGGTTACCGCATCCAGACCAGCATCGCTCCACTCTTCTGATTCCTCCCACTTCTCACTCTCTCCCTCATACGCCTCCCCTCTTTCCCCATCCCTCTCCCTCTCACCAACACTCTCACTCCCACTCTCACTCTCCCCCTTTTCCTCAACCTCTGCCACTCTCAAGTCTTCCCACTCACTCTGATCCATTCTTGTTCCAGCTGCCTCAGGTGAATTCACAGCATATGAATCAGGGCTGGCACCTGAACCAACAGAGACAGCACCTGAGGGCAGCGCAACAGTGACAGAACCTGAAGGCAGCATGACAGACACGGCACCTGAAGGTAGCACGACGGAAACAGCACCTGAGGGCAGAACAACAGAGACAGCACCTGAAGGGAGCACCTCAACAGAGGCAGAGCTTTTTCCAGGTGCCATGTCAGGTGCAGCCCCAGGTGACGTGTCAGGTGATTTGGCAACACCAGCAGCTGGAATCGAGCGTGACTCCAGAACAGGGCTTTCAGGTGGGCCAGTGGCGTCATGCCCAGCCGTTATGACATCAGCAGAGACTGCCACGTCAGCAGGGCTGGCAGGTGACGAAGCAGGGTGGGTTGCAGGAAGAAGGGGTAAAGCAGAGGCAGGAGATGCGTGGGGAGAGGCGCACTGAGTCTGAGACCCAGGAGAGGAATGGGGTGAGGCGCACTGAGACCCAGGAGAGGAAAGGGGTGAGGCGCACTGAGACCCAGGAGAGGAATGGGGTGAGGCGCACTGAGACCCAGGAGAGGAATGGGGAGAGGCGCATTGAGGCGCAGGAGTGGTGGGAAGAGAGACTTGAGCCTCGTCCGCCTCACTCTGGAGAGGTGAGCGGCACTGCAGAGCTCCGAACTCCCCGGAGATTCGATCGTGAGGCAACGCAGCAGGGCTGGCGAGGGGCAGCGCTAGAGATGGGCTGCCAGCGGCAAAAGAGAATGTGCCGCCCTGCCCTTCCAGCCCCTCATCCCTCTCCGGCTCCTCCTTCTCCTCCTCCTCCTCCTGCTCCTCCTCCTCCTCCTCCTCCTCCTGCTCCTCCTTCTCCTCCTCCTCCTCCTGCTCCTCCTCCTCGTCCTCCTCCACTTCCTCCCCAGATTCTGCCCCTGACTCCTTCTCCTCCTGCTGCTCCTGTTGCCGTTCAAGAGCGAGGCTGACAGCAGAGCAGTCTAGAGGCACAACTGAGCTCGGGGCGTTGGATGGCAGTGGGGAGAGAGACGCGTAGGGGCTGATGGACTGGAGAGGAGAGGGGGCAAAAGGGGACTGGGTGGCCGCCAGCTCCATGCTGCTCCACTCCGCTTCACTCGACAAGTCGCTCCACTCCGCCTCGTCCTCCTCTGCCCCTTCTGCCCCCTCTGCCCCCTCTGGTGCTTCATCCTTTTCTTCCTCCTCTTCCTCCTCCTCCTCCTCCTCCTCTTCCTCCACCTCCTCCTCCTCCTCCTCTTCCTCCACCTCCTGCTCTGCCCCCTTCTCAGTCTCCTCCTCCTGTCTTTCCTCTGCTGGCTCATCCTCAGCCTCCTCCTCCTCAACATCCCTGACAGCCGTTTCTTTTTCGCCCCCTCCTCATCACTTTTGCTGCTCGAAGCATCACTGCCAGCATCACTGCCAACACCACTGCCAGCACCACTGCCAGCACCACTGCCAGCACCACCACCAGCACCACTGGATGCAGCTATAGCGACAGCACTAACTGACTCCTCAAACTCCAGCGCACTTCTTGCCATCCCAGCATCAGCATCCAAGGGACTGCCCTCTGTCCCCTCCAACTCTCCCATCAGCTCCACCACCCCACCTGCCCCGTCCGATGCGCTGCTGACCATGCCTTCTCCCTCCTCCACACTCAACTCGGCCTCAACACCATCCCCTGCCTCCACACCAGCACCTGTCACACCACTCGCACCACCCCACACCTCACTCTCTCTCGTCCACTCACCCGACCACCCCTGCATGCCCACCCCCCCATCGCCCACATCTCTGCTCCAGTCCAGCTCACCCTCATACACATCACCCCCCATATCATACTCGTACGCATCCTCGTCGATCTGCCGCATGACCCCACCCTTGCCCACTCCTGCTATGCTCTCTGCTGCCCCGTCTGCTGCCTCCCTTTCACCCTGTTGCTGCTGCTGCTGCTGCTCACCAGCTGGCTCAACTACCTGATAATTCACCTGATGGTCCACCTGCTGCACCCCCTCCTGAGCCACCTGATCATTCACCTGGCGATTAACCTCCATATCTCCTTCCACAGGCCCCTCCTTCCCTCCCAACTCCCTATCCTCAATTGCCCGACCCTCTTCGCCCTGTGCATGCACCTGCTGCTGCTCCCCCTCCCACTCCTCCGTCCAATCACCATCTGCCACGTGTCCAGGCGCCAGCTTCACCTGCTGCAGTGCAGACAAGTTACTGCTGACCCAGCTCGCCTCCTCCTCACCGTCACTCTCCAGGATGCCCCTTGCCCCATCCACGCTCTCTGTGTCTGCTCCTCCCCTTCCCCTACGCCCTTCCTTCCACTGCCCCTGCTCCTGTCTTCATTGCTAGGCCATCACACAGTCACGCCTGCACCCTCCGATACCTCCTGTGCCTCCGCCTCTGCTCTGCCTCTGCCTCTGCCTCTGCTCTGCCTCGAGCCATGCGTCACCGTCACTGCTCCACACATCATCTGCACCACCTCTCTCGCCCTCTTGATCCTCAACCTCAACCCCTTGTCCCTCCCTCTCCTCTTCCTCATCACTTAACCTCTCCACGCCGTCGCCACTCCCCACTGCTCCACTTCCCTCCATCACTCCGCTCTCCAATACTCCACTCTCCAATACTCCACTCTCCAATACTCCACTCTCCTCCACTGCTCCCCACGCATCCTCCCCTTCACTCTCACCACTCCTTGAACCACCCTCATGGCTGCCCCCATCCGACCCACGACTGCTGAAGCTGCCCTCCCTGCTAACACTGCTCCTCTTCCCCATGCTGCCACTAGCACTCGACCTGTGGCTGCTCATGCTGCTCCCCCTGCTCTTGCTACTCCCTCTGCTCACGCTGCTCGTTTTGCTCATGCTGCCACTAGCTCTGGACCGCTCACTGCCTGTGCTGTCAGCTCGGGTGACTCCAGCAGCGCCATCACCACTTTCTGGACTGAATACACTACCAGCACTCGCATCGCTTCTTCTGCTCCATGCATTAGCAACACTAGCAGCACCGTCAGCATCACTTGCCGCATGCCCGCTGCTCGCACCACTCCTGCTGTCACTGCTGGCAGAACGGCTGGCCGCACTCCTGCTGCTATGCGTGCTGCTGCTGTGCTGACTGTGTGGGCTGCTGTGCTGACTGTGTGGGCTGCTGTGCTGACTGTGTGTGCTGCTGTGCTGACTGTGGCTGCTGTGCTGACTGTGTGTACTACTGTGCTGACTGTCGGCTGCTGTGCTGACTGTGTGTACTGCTGTGCTGACATGTCGGCTGCTGTGCTGACTGTGTGGCTGCTGTGCTGACTGTGTAGGCTGCTGTGCTCACTCTTTGCCATGCTGTGCGTGCTGCTGTAAGTGCTATGGCTTCTGCTGCTTCTCAGGCTCTCACGCCCCCTCGCACTCCCTCCCTCACTCACTCCCTCACTTGCTCTCTCAGACTTATTCCCCCGTACATTCTCCAGTCACTGTTCTCCGCACTGCCTCCCCCTTCGCTTCCACTCACACTGCCCTTCCCAGTTCCCTTTCCACCCCCTCACCTTCACTGGCAGTCACACTCTGTCTCTCACTCCGAACCTCCTCACATGCAGCCCACTGAGCACGCCGCTCTCATTTACACTATGTGATCCACTCAACACGCCACTCCCATGTTTGCTTCCATGCACACTCCCATGCCCACTACCATGCTCACTCACACTCTGCGCCACACCCCTCGCTCGCTACTGGCCTCACTTCTCCTGTCACCACTCTGGAAACATCGCTATCTGAGGCTTTAGAGTGCTGGCTTCCACTCGCCTCTCTCCTCTGCTTCTGCTACCACCCTCGCTCTCACATCGCTTCCAGGCTGCTCCCCTGATGCTACTACTCCGCTCACTGCCACTCTGAGTCTCGGATCCCTTAGCACTATCTGTAGCACTGCCTGTAGCACTGCCTGTAGCACTGTGCTTGCTCGTCCCATCGCTCCAACTACCACTCACACTCTTGCTGGCACTTCCTCTCTCGCTCTCACTTGCTTTCTCACTTGATTTCACACTCCCGTCCACACTCCTCCTCCCTCTCTCGCGTGCAAGTGGTCACTCTCGCTCTCACACTACTGCTCTGTGTCTTATCGCTTCTTCTCGTGCTCGCACTCCAGTTTTACCTCCCCTCTCACTCCCTCCCACACTCACCCCCTCGTTGCACTATCTGCCACACTCTCCCTTTTCCCACTCCCACTTCTGCTGCTCGTGATTCTACTGCTGCCCCTGCCCCTGCTCCTGCTCCTCCTCCTGCTCCCGCTCCTGCTGCTGTGAATGCTTGCTTCTTGCTCTGCTGCTGTGGTTGCTTCTGCTCCTGCTTCTGCTCCTCCCACTGCGAGGCATGCTTCTGCTGCCTTTGCTTCTGCTTCTGCTGCTAACACTGTTCTTCACCCCACTCTCTCTGATCCCTCCTCACTCACCTCCTCACTGCTCATCCTCCCACTCCTTCTACCCCCCTCGCCCCTCTCTCACTCCCACTCCCCCTGTCTCACTCGCACTGCGGCTTCTGCTCCTGCTCTCTCACTCTCACTCACTCCCACTCCCTCCCACTTCCACTTCCACTCCACTCCCACTCCCACTGTGCTCCTGCTCCTACTCCTACTCCTGCTGATATCAACCTCAAAGCTCAGGTCAATGCTGCTCACCCCGCTGCCACTGCGCCTGCTGCCAGCCCCCGGGCTCTGCTGCGCCAGCTCCCTCTCTGCCACCTCAATCCACCGCTCAATCTCCTTCCTCTTCTCCCCATCCTCCTCCTCCTCATAACCTTCCTCCACCTCATCCTCTCCTCGTGCTCCTCCTCCTCCTCCTCCCCATCCTCCTCCCCACCCTCCCTCATGCTCCCTCTGCTCTTCCTCTCCAACATCCAAGCCATCCGAATGGTGCTTCAAACCCTTCTCACTCCGACCCTCCTCCTCCTCCACCTCTTCCTCCTCGATCTCATCTCTCTCAGCAAGTGTCGCCCTCTTAAACACCACACCAACCTCTCGCCATCCTCCATACTGCCCTCCTCGCTACCAGCACCAAGCTCCTCATCCACATGACTCCCTGGATGGCTGCCTGTTTGGAGGAACGCATCCCCAGCCACGCTGCCTAGCATCACCTCATCATCAGCCTCCCTCTCCCCATCCTCCTCCCTCTCCTCCTCCTCCTCCTCCATATCCTCCCTCTTCTCAGCTGTTTTGGGTCGGTTAAACACACCACCACCTCTCACCATCCCCCATACTGTCATCCTCGCTACCGGCATGAATCTCCTCCTCCATCTCCCTGCCTCGCTCCTTCCTCCTCACCCACGAGACTCCCTGTTGGGCTGCCCATGTGACTTCCCACATGGCTGGCTGTTGGCTGCCTGTTTGAACGCGTCCCCAGCCACACTGCCTAGCAGCACCGCATCCTCCTCCTCCTCCTCCTCCTCCTCCTCTCCTCCTCTTCCTTCCTCCATATCCTCTCTCTCCGCTTCCATATCCAGCATCCTTTCAGCGGTCCTGGGTCGGTTGAACACCACCACCACCCTCTCCACCATCCTCAAACTCGTTATCAGCATCCTCGATATCCGTATCAAGATGGCCATCGGTCAGGGACCCATGCTCGGACATAGAGACATGACATGGTCGGCAGCACTATCAACTCTCACGTCCTCATGCTCATCCTCCTCTTCTTCCTCTTCGAACCATTGCTCCCTTGGTTGCCGTCTTAAACACCACACTACCACCCTCTCATCCTCCTCCTCTTCTTCTTCCTCCTCCAACTCGTCCTCTGGATCCTCCTCATGCAGCGCCCCATCCTCCCATCCTCCCCACCATCCCCACATCGTCATCACGCATGTCATGCATGCCGTTAAGCACAGCCGTCCTCCTGGGTCTGCAACCCCAGAGTCAAGTGCCACGTCAACATCGCTTGCCACATCTGGTAGCTCGCACGTCAGCATCACTTACCTATCAACAACGCCATCCCATCGCTCAAATCGCTCCACTCTGCATGCACCACTGCAGCTCTGGTGGCCGTTTTGAACACACCACCACCACCTCTCTCCATCCTCCTCTTCCTCCTCTTCTGTCTCCTCACCATCAACTCCTCCCCTCGCTCCTCTCCATCATCCCGTAGGTCATCTCGGACATACATGCCCTGCACTCTCCATTTATGCTCGGACCCGTGCCATCACCATGCATCGCATCCACCACATCTGCGCGGGCAATCCCGGGCCGGTCGTCGTAACCAGCATCATAGCTGCCTGGGTATGAGTCAGTCTCTGCATCTGCCTGCATATGTGCGTCTGCATGTGCGTGAACATCTGCACCTTCCTGCCTAAAACCATGTGCACCTGCCCCTCTCAACTCCCAGTAATTCCCCATCACTTCTCTCCACACCATCCTCGCCTGCCTCTCTCTCCTCACCCATCCCTGCCTCTGTCCCGCCCACATCCTTCCCAGCCACTCCCTCCCCCACACGCCCGTTCCCCCCCTCCCCTCCCCCTCTCTCACCGACCTAAAACTCCCACACTCCCCTCAGCATCCTCCCCAGACTACTCCCAACGCTGCCAATGCTGCCAGTCCTGCCCCCTCCAACGCTGCCCAAGCTCCCCACACTGTTATGGGCAGTCCAGAAGGGAGAGAGCTCCCCATCCAAGGCATCCATCAGATCCCCTAGTTCTGCCTCAACTGACCTCGTGCTCTCCCCCTCACTCCCTCTCTCACTCACTCCCTCACTCTCTGTCACTCCCTCCCCCTCACTCATCCCCAGACTGGTGACGTCACTGAGAGACCCGCCCCTGCCACGTGTCCTGCTCCGGATGGACGAAATCTCTGAAGCTCCACCCAGGGAGAGCCCCCTCCTTCGCCGCACATCTCCCCCTGCCCCCCCAACCCACAGCAGTACCACTCGCAGCAGCAATGCTACCACCAGCAGCAGTAGCAGCAGCAGCAGGAGCGACGGCGGCACCAAAACTGGGTGCAGTTGCGGGCCACAGGATACTCTCTGTCCTGTTGGTATGCCGGCTGCTGACGCTGCTCGTGCTCTGCTGCCGGCTCTGCTGCCGGCTCTGCTGCAAGCTGTGCTGCCTGCCAGGCTGGCCACTGCGCTCGGTGCCGGTTTGAGTGGCACGGGGCTTGATACGCAGCCACGGCCTCTCTTCCTCCTCCTCGTCCGTCTCCGAGTTCTGCAAACGCCCCTGGTCGCGATAAAAGTCGTTGCTGTGGCCGAGGTTGTAAGAGTGGGCGTGGGCGCGGGAGTAGGAGTGGGAGCGGGCGCGAGAGTGGGCATGGGGTTGGGAGTGGTCAAGTACGTTACCATCAAAACACATGCTCACAGCAGCACGTGCCAGGGACTGACTCAGAGCCCGTTCGAACCTTGAGTCAGCCATACCCGGCATGCCACCCCCATCCATGCTGCTTGCCAGGCTGTCAGCCACACTGCTTCCCCTTCTCCCTCCGTGCCCTCCCCTCCCACACCCCCTCTCCACCACCAGCCGCTGACTCCCCCCAACAACCCCTCCTCCCCTTCCTGCCAAGGCCCATACCCAATCCCTGCTGCACCCACACTACTCCCTAACGTATTATTAGTATTACCCACTTCTGTTGCTCTCCCACTAGTCCCCAGCCCATACCCCATTCCTGCGACGCCCTCACTGCCCAGCGGGCCCGGCCCATACCCAATTCCTGCTACGTCCCCACTGCCCCCCGGGCCGGGCCCATACCCCCCTGCAGCACCTCACTCCACACCTCCCAGCCACTCTGGGCTCCACCCACTGCGCCTGGCCCCTCCATGCCAGCCCAAACCCCCTGAGCAGCACCACCTGCACCTGCAGCACTAACTCGAGTATGCGTGTGGGCACCAGCCCACCCCCCCTGGCTCTGACTGTGGCTCTGGCTGCGGCTGTGGCTCCTTGCCTGGCTGTGGGAATTGCGGTGCCCTGCAGTTTGGATCCCTGAGTGCCCCGCAGCATGGGTGAAAAAGGCAGCCCCCTCAGTTGCTCCTCGCGAGTGGCCCCTGGGGGGAAATGCGCTTGCGTGCTGCCTGCTTTGCTCACCCATGCCTGGCATTGGCGTAGCTGGAGTAACACCAACACCGGGCATTGGTGTTACTGCCCGGAGGAAAGCAAGAGATGCAACAGCAGCAGCAGCAGGAGGAGGAGCAGCAGCAGCAGCCGCAGCAGCAGCAGCTGGGTACGACGAGGCGTCGTAGACGCCTGGCATAGGCGTCTCTGCCCTAGAAAATGATGCAGGATCTGCAGCAGCAGGAGGAGGGGGGCAGCAGCAGCAGCAGCAGCAGCAGCAGACGCTGGGTACGAGGCATCATAGACACCAGGCATTGGCGTTACCGCTCTGGAGAACGATACAGGAGCTACAGCCAGAGCAGCAGCAGGAGGGGGTGTGGGCGGCAGCAACGGCATCTCCTGGCATGGGCGTTCCCATGCGGGAGAGAGCAGGTGCAGCAGAGGCAGGTGGAAAGACAGGAGCAGACGCAGGAGCAACGGAATCTGATGCAGCAGCATGGATTCCAGGCATGGGCGTTGCTGTGCGGGAGAGAGCAGGTGCACTAGTAGCAGTTGCAGGGACAGCAGCAGATGCAGCAGCATGGATTCCCGGCATGGGCGTTGCTGTGCGGGAGAACGCACGAGAAGGACTGGAGTGAGTAGCAGCAGGGTGGGGAGGGTGGGGAGGAAGAGCAGCAGCAGCAGCAGGCGGAAGGTAGACCCCTGGCATGGGCGTTACTGTGCGAGAGCCCACAGCAGAAGCAGACGAGGCGACAGCAGCAGGAGGCAAGGGGGCAGCGTAGACACCCGGCATGGGCGTTGATGCACGGGAAAATGATGCAGGCACTGCAGCATGAGAAGCAGCAGCAGGAGGAAGAGGAGGACGAGGAGGAGATGCAGCAGCAGCATGCAGTCCAGGCATGGGAGTTGTGGAGCGGGAAAGCATTGCAGGGTGAGCGGCAGGAGGAGCAGGAGCAGGAGGAGGTAAACCAGCAGCATGCACTCCTGGCATGGGTGTTCCTGCTCGCGAGAATGCAGCAGCAGCAGCAGCAGCAGGAGCAGAAGAAGAAGAAGAAGCAGTGACATGCACACCAGGCATTGGCGTTGCTGCACGAGAACCAGCAGCGGCAGCTGAGACAGAAGCAACGCCAGCATGGGGAAGACTCTCAGCACGCACGGCAGCCCCTGCGGCGGCGGCGGCATTGAATGGCATACCATCCATCGCATGTGCCACATAGCCCCCACTTGTAGCGCCCTCCATCTGCATACCGCCGTCTGTAGCAGGCTGAGTCCGCACTTGAGCCAAGCTCTGACCCCCCGGCCAACCTGTAGCATCCTTCTGAGGCGCCTCTAGGCCCTCTAGGTCCTCTCGACCCTCTCGACCTTCTAGGCCCTCTAGGCCCGCCCTGCCTGTAGCGGCCACAGCATGCCAGAAGGGGTATGGCTTGCCGTCCACTGCATGCATCAGGTCCGCTAGCTCGCCCTCCACTGAACTCCCCTGCCCACTGCTGCCCCCACACTCCCCCCTCACTCCATACCTCACTCCCTACCTCGCTCACTCCCTCACTCACCCCCTCACTCCCCCTCACTCCCCTCATCTCTCGATGATCGCCTGGCACAGCCCTCTTTCCCACCCCTCTTGGCCACACTACCGACCCCCACCCATGACCGCCCTCCTCCCTCCCCTCCTCTTCACTGTCCAACAGATGCTGGCCGTACCTCCCCACCTCCCGTTCTCCTCCCCTCGTGCCTGCTCCTGACCCCCTTGACTTGCATTTCTATCTCCTCTCTTCCCCTCTACCCACCTCTCCTCTTCCCCTCCACCTGCCTCTCCTCTCCCCTCCCACGCCTGATCCCGTCAGCATGCCTGGCATGTCCCCAACGCTACTAGTGGAGCTTCGCAGATCGTCCCCCCCCTAACATTGCTACCACTCCCCTTGTACTGACGCGCCTCAAAACTCAAATCGTCACTGCTCACCCCACTGCCACTCCCCTTGTACACATCGCCACTCCCCTCACGCTCGATACCAGCCAACAATCTCTCATCTTCAGCCGTCATTCGCTCGCCCTCCATTTCGATGGTTGCAGTCCTCTCACTTGCCCACACTTCCCTTTCAACGTCACTCCCCCGTCTCACTCTGCCCCCTCCCTCTCTCGTCTCTCCCCCCCTCGATACCCATTCCTGCTGCCATGGCCACCACAGGCACAGGCATCATACACACAGCTGCCTCTGCCTCTGCTTCCTCTACTCCTCCCGGGGCGTTCTCCGTGTGCCACTCTGCCCTCTCCACGCCCGCACTCACGTCCACCACTCGCTCTACAAGCATTCCAAGCTCCGCCTCCTCCTCCGCCTCCTCCTCTTCCTCCTCTGCCTCCTCCTCTTCCCCCTCCACCACTCGCTCTACAAGCATTCCAAGTTCCGCCTCCTCCTCCGCCTCCTCCTCTTCCTCCTCTGCGTCCTCCTCTTCCCCTCCACCACTCGCTCTACAAGCATTCCAAGCTCCGCCTCCTCCTCCGCCTCCTCCTCTTCCTCCTCTGCCTCCTCCTCTTCCCCCTCCACCACTCGCTCTACAAGCATTCCAAGTTCCGCCTCCTCCTCCGCCTCCTCCTCTTCCTCCTCTGCGTCCTCCTCTTCCCCCTCCACCACTCGCTCTACAAGCATTCCAAGCTCCGCCTCCTCCGCCCCTCCTCTTCCTCCTCTGCCTCCTCCTCTTCCCCCTCCACCACTCGCTCTACAAGCATTCCAAGCTCCGCCTCCTCCTCCGCCTCCTCCTCTTCCTCATCCTCCTTTGCCTCCTCCTCTTCCTCATCTGCATCCTCCTTTGCCTCCTCTTCCTCTCCCTCCAGACCGTCTGTCCAGCCTCAGCAGCCGCAGCTGCCTCTTCCAACTCCACACGGTCTGCTTCCGCCTCTGTGCTTGTGCCTCCTGCGCCTTCCCTCGCGTCCTCCTCTCTTTGACTCGCTTCGACTCCTCCTTGCGCCACCTCCTCCTCTCCTTCACTTCCCTCCCTCCTCGCCGCACCATCAACCTCACATCTTCTTTCCCGTGTTCCTGCACAGCCACACTCTCTATCTCACTCTCCTCATCTCGCTCCTTCTCCTCCTCACTTCCTTCCTCCCTCTCCTCACCTCCCCCTCCCTCTTCTCACCTCCCTCTCCCTCTTCTCACCTCCCCCTCCTCTTCTCACCTCCCCTCCCTCTCCTCACCTCCCTCCTTCCCTTCCGCACCTCCCTTCTCTCTCTCCTCACCACTCATACTCCTGAACGGCATCATAGAAGGTTCATGTTTTTCACCGCTCCCTCTACCTCCAGTGCTCCCAATTCTTCTTTCTCCTGCTCCACCTCTTCCTTGTCTTCCTCTGCTTCTTCCTCTACTTCCCCCCTTCTTCCCTCCTCCTCCTCCTCCTCCTCCTCATTCTCCTCCCGCTCCTCCTCCTCCACTTCCCCCCCAGCGACTTCACAGTGTACCATCTTAGCAGGCTAGACACCACGTGGCCATCTGACGACCTGCATTGAAAAAAGGAGGTTGGAAATGTAAGAGCGAAAATGCATCTGAGGAGGACCAACGGGGTTGCATAGCATCGCATCACAGGCAGCTAGAGACCACGTGACCATCTGACAGACTTCAGCACACGCACAGGTAAGTAGTATAATCACAAAAGCATGAAATGAATATTCAGAGATTTATGAAAATAATAGAATTGCACAACCTCTTCTCCTTCTTACTTCCTGCTGCAAACTTTTATTTTGGATGAAAAAGGATGCACGCGAAAAGGTTTATGGGTGGGCGGCAACTCACTGCAGCAGTCCGTTGGTGAGAGCAGCCTCTTCCAGCATCTTCATGCGCTGGTGGGTGACACATGGGGGGAAAAGGCATGGCACGGGCATACGGTAATGGAAAGGCACAGGGTAAGACGCTAGCAATCCACTGGTGAGAGCAGCCTCTTCTAGCATCGTCATGCGCTGACAGATGCACATTTTGGGAGGGAAGGGGGAGAGGGGGGAGGGAGGAGAGAGGAGGGGAAGGAGGAAAAGGTGGGGCGGTAAAGGTATGGGGTAAAGGGAAAGGCCCAGGGTAAGGGTCTAGCATGCCGTTGGTGAGGTCGAGATGAAAGAGAGTGAAAAGGTTGCTCCTGACAGCAGCACCAGCAGCCCTTACCCCTGTTAGCAGCAGAAGCAGGCGTATTCTAATTTTTGAGTCGACTCAAAAATCGTATTCTAATTACTAGCACCACTCACCACTGCTTCCTCATTGGCTTCTGAAGCAGAGAGCTCAGATCGCGAGGCAAACAGAGTAAAGAAGCTGCGCTTGTCAACGCTGGAAGCCGCCCAGC